CCGGCTAATTTTATATATATATTAGTTGGCCAATTAATTTCTTTCTATTTATAGTAGAGACGGGGTCTCGCTCTTGCTCAGGCTGGTTTCGAACTCCTGACCTCGAGCAATCCGCCCGCCTCAGCCTCCCAGAGTGCTAGGATTACAGGCGTGAGCCACCGCGCCCGGCTTATAGAGTTATTTTTATGTGCTAGCTAAGAAATCTTTGCCTACCCTAAGGCAGCAAAAATTTTCACCTATTGTTTTCTACAAGAACATTTTAGGCTTAGCCTTTACATTTAGGTCTGTGATTTTCAGCACTTACAGTAGTACCCTTTATCAATGTTTTCTCTTTCTTCAATTTGAGTTACCTGTGGTCAACCATGGTCCAAAAATACTAAATAGCACATTCCAGAAATAAACAATTCATAAGTTTTATTTTTATTTTTTTAAGAGATGGGGCCTCACTATATTTCCCAGTTTGTTCTCAAACTCCTGGGGATCAAGTGATCTTCCCACCTGGGCCTCCCAAAGTGCTGGGATTTATAGGCATGAGCCACCATGCCCAGCCTAATTTGTAAGTCTTAAAATGCACACTGTTCTGAGTAACATGATCAAATCTCATACTGCTCTACTCCATCCTGCCCAGGATATGAATTACCCTTTTGTCCAGAGTATCCAGGTTGTTTATGCTACATACCTCTTAGGTACTTAATAGTCATCTTGGGGCCGGGCGCTGTGGCTCACGCCTGTAATCCTAGCTCTTGGGAGGCCGAGGCGGGCGGATTGCTCAAGGTCAGGAGTTCAAAACCAGCCTGAGCAAGAGCGAGACCCCGTCTCTACTATAAATAGAAAGAAATTAATTGGCCAACTGATATATATATATAAAAAATTAGCCGGGCATAGTGGCACATGCCTGTAGTCCCAGCTACTCGGGAGGCTGAGGCAGAAGGATCACTCGAGCCCAGGAGTTTGAGGTTGCTGTGAGCTAGGCTGATGCCACGGCACTCACTCTAGCCTGGACAACAAAGTGAGACTCTGTCTCAAAAAAAAAAAAAAAAAAAAAATAGTCATCTTGGTTATTAGATCAAATGTCATGGTATCCCAGTGCTTTTGCTCAAGTGACATTTATTTTACTTTATGTCCCTAAATCACAAGAGTAATTATACCTATATCATTCATCTCACTTTATTCCCTCAAATAGACATTGTATCATCTCACATCATCACAAGAAGAATTAGTACAATATAAGATATTTTAAGTGAGAGAAAGAAACATTCACATAACTTTTATTACAGTATATTGTTCTATTTTAGTATTATTGTTGTTAATCTCTTACTAGGCCTAATTTATAAATTAAACTTTATCATAGGTATGTATATATAGAGAAAAAACAGTGTGTGTGTGTGTGTGTGTGTGTGTGTGTGTGTGTATGTGTGTGTAAGGGTCAGCACTATCTGCAAGTTCAAACATCCCTTGGTGATCTTGAAATGTCTCCCCTATGGATAATGGGGGACTACTGTAAGCCATTCCATTGTCTTTTAGCTTGCTTATTTCCACTAAAAAGTCTGCAGTTGTTCTTGTCTTTGTTTTCCCTGTATGTGATGTATCTTTTTTCCCGTTTGCCTTTAAGATTTTTTCCTTATCCTTAGGCTTCACAATTTTACTATTTTTTGCCTTTGTGTGATTTACATTGGATTTATATTATTTAGGATTGGTAAGCTTGTTGGATATATGGTCCATTTTTAAGAATCAATATTGGACATTTTCAACCATTATTTCTTAAAATATTTTACTTAGTATTTGCCCATGATTCCAATTATGTGTATGAAACTGCTGATTATTATTAACAAGGTCACCCAAGATTCTATTCAATTTTTCAGCCTTTTTTTCCTCCTCTGTACCTCAGTTTGGATAGTTTCTATTGCCATGTCTTCTGTTTTCTGATCTTTTCTGTAGTGTGTAATCTTCTGTTAAATCTATGCTAAATAGTTTCTATGCCTCTCCTCATTATGTCTGTTTTCCTTTACATCTTGAATATACTTATAATAGCTATTTTAAAGTCTTTGCTAATTTTATCATATCAATTCTGAATCTCTTTCTATTGACTGATGAATCATTTTCCTGCTTTCATGCCTAATAATTTGTTTCTGAGTGCTGAAAACTAATAATTTAACATTATTCAATACATAATTTTCTTCTATTAAATACAGATGTAGAAGAAAAATTTTGATAATGTTGTTGTAGGTAGCAGGCAGTTAATTTACTTCCAGATCAGCTTGATGTTTTGAGGGTTGCATTTACACTTTGTTAAGGCAGGTTGAAATTAGCCTTTACACTAGGGCCATTTTAGTCTTCCTCCTAAAGCATGACCTATTTGAGGTGTCTATTATTAAATGCTCTGATCATTCAATAAAATGTCTATTCTGTTGGACTGAATGTCTCTCCCAATCATGTGTGTAAGCTCCAGATGTTGTTCAGATTACAAGTTCTCTCAGCAATTGTTCTTTCTCAGATAGTTGTTATTTAAGCAGCCTCATGGAATTTTACTCTTTGCATACTTAGTTTTCATTCAAGGACTAAAGGTGGATTCCTGTGCCAATTTCTGGAGCTTTTCATCTTTGTAGCTTCATCCTCTTCAGTACTCTGCCAATTCCAACTACTTTGGCTTCCCTGACCTCTGATCTTTGTCTCCTCAGCTCAGTGAGTCTACCTTGCTCTGCTTAGATTCTTCCTCACTGTATTAGGGCCCAATAAATACCTCCAGGCATATAGTTAGAGCAATTGGAGCTCTCACGTCATTTGTTTTCCTTGTTCATTTATTACAGTCTTGCACTGCCCATTTGTCAATCTTGGAAAACCATTGCTTCATATATTTTGTCTAATATTTTAATTATTTATGGTACAAGAACAAGTCTGACCAGAAGTTGAAATCCCTCAGCTTATAATTTGTGAATAGACTTTGCTACTTACCTTACAAGACTAGTTGTGAAATACACATGCTATGACATTTTCTGGCTTAGCCTGCCCCCTGTTAGGATCTATTGTTTTGAATTGTTTGATTCCCAAAACATCTTAGTGTGGGAAAAAAAAAGTGTTTGATACAAATTATTGGTTTAGTCCAATTTTTTTCTTTTGTTTTAGGATTTCCCTATATTTTTCCACTCTCATTACACCTACCAATACCCATGCTGTGTTAGCCTGGTTTGTTGAATCATGCATAGTGACCTATTTTCTCTCTCTCTTCCTGTTCAGTGGCACCTAGAAAATCTTGTAATTCTGTTCTTCAAGTATCCAATAGCCTCCCATTCCAAAACCCTTGAAAGTTTATATTTTGAAAGGAGTTCAGAGTGGCTAGAAAATGGTCCAAGTGGGTATCCAACAGAGTTCATCAGTATATAAACCTTGGTTAGGCCAATCAGAGCTATAAAGCCTTATTTGTGATCCAAAGACAGCAAACTTGATCTAGAATTGTGCAATCCAATACAGTAGCCACTAGCCCATGTGACCATTAATCATTTGAAGGGTGGCTAGTGTCAAATGTTGAAATAATAATATTTTAGATATATTAGATTACAAAAATTGTTTTAATTAATTTCATTGGTCTCTTTTTACATTTTAAAATGTGGCTTATATTCCTTTTTTTTCTTTTTTGAAAAATTCTTCCACTTTGTCCATATATATTCCTTTTGAACAGTGCTGATCTAGAAAACACAGGGCATGAGAAGGAAGGCTGGGGTTTTAAGGGTAAATAGTATGACCAGTCTATATTTTAGAATGAGCTGTCTGGAAGTGTGTAGAAAACAGACAAAAGAGGAACAGCATGAGGGCAAGAAAAGCAGTTAGAAGACTATTCTGATGGCCCAGGAAAGAAACGATTGTCACATTCAGCATCACAAAAGTATTTCTATTTGATAAAATTGTCATTTACTTCATTAGTGGTAGGAAAGCAAAATACAAATAAAACAACAACAACAACAAAATTAGGGTATCCAAAGTGTATTTGTGTAAATTTGTTTGGAAAGAAAATACCCAGTCTTATAAACATGAGTGCAGACACATCCTAACACCTCCTGCTATGCTTATTCTTCACCATATTTTAGTTCAACACTAGACTAACACAGCCTGTGAGAACATGGCCTTCTATGGATTGACACAAACAAGTCATTTGGGGATGGCAGGAAGAATTTGTCCCTCCGGACTTAGCTCTGCTACTTAACAATGGTGTGTTCCTGGACGGGTTGTTTAAACTCTCTAGGTCTCATTGTCTTCATGAGAAAAATAGCTAATCCTTCAACAGGTCCAATGGGAGATTAAATTCAAAAACTTAAAAAGTCAGAAAATTTGAATAATTGATGCTATAAAATTGCAGGTATTCTTGTTGTTCTGTTCCACAAGTAAACCGTATTCATGCATGACAGGAGTTTTGACTGTGATATCACTCCCTGGGCCTGAGTGAACTCAACCCGCTGACATTTGGCAGGATTCGTTACTCTGGACCATGTGAAGTAATAACACCCAGATCTCCCCAGTATTTTCTGCTCAGGGAATTTGGGGATGCTCAGGACAGCACATCCTCCTTCCCTTTGAGGGCTCTGGCAAGAGGCTAAGCTAGGTAAGTGCAGTCAGGCCAGGCTATCTGAAGGTTAAGTAAATGGGCTAACAGGCTGGTCATCTGGCCACACAGGTGCTCCAGGCCCTTTCTTTTTCTCACCTGGAGTTTGTTATCACAAGGTTGCCAAGATCAGAGCCTAAACTTAGATCAATACTTAACTCCTCTGCCAATATAACTACTTGATTGGAAGCTCACAAGTTTGGCATTGTTATTTCTAAATGTCCAAGGTTTCAGAGTCAAAGTTGAATCAATCTTATGCAATGCTCTGATAAATCCAGGACAGATGGAATTATTTCTCAGTGAGAGCCTATTTTGGCTTTCAATGTCATGAGGTATCTAGCTAGGTGAGGACCGCCAAGGCTCCATCACCATCAAAAAGGCTTATCGTCGAATCTGCAGTCCCGAGATGTGTGGAGCAACAGAAGCTGGTGGAAAGCAGGGCTTGGGTGGTAGCTCCACTCCACCTTTGGTCTTTGAGATTCACCTGTGTACCCAGAACATCGAGCTGCTCCAACTTCACATAAATTGTGTGTGGGGCCCAGGTAACATTGGGTGAATTTTCACTGAACCCTGGGTACCTTACGGCCTCAGATTGCCTGTGGAACAATAGTCACCACCCAGGACTGAACTGAAAAATACCCATTAAAATTAAAATTCTGCCAAAATGAAGTGAAGACTTAAATAGTTGTTATCTATAATATGAGAAGTATTAGGAAAGTGGATTTTATAAACCAAGTATTAGAAAAAAATCTGTCCATGTATTAGTGTTATGCCTAAGTATCATCTAGATGTCATGGTGAAATTTACAGCCCAGCATTTGGTACCCATACTGTTCATGGAAGTAGGAGAAACGGTACAAAATTAATCTCTATTTATTAAGGTAATGCTAACTGCTATACATTCAAGTCAAAGGACTTAAAGTAATAGAAGTTTATTTCTTGTTCATGTACAATTTAAAATGGGAGTTCGTGATTGGTGGGTGGCTTTCCTCTATGAAGGCTCCTTCCATCTTGTGGTTCTGCCAGATTCAACACATGGCCTTCAAGGTTTTGTGCTTGTCTGCATCAAGCCACAGAAGGGAAGGAACATGCAGGACCATGTGTGAGTTTTAATGAACAGGACTGGAACTTGTGCACATCCATGCACTCATATGTCATTGGCCAGAGTTGATCACCTGGCCCCATATCCCTACAATGGAAGTTATGGAATCAAATCCAGTTCTATTTCCTGTATGAAGATGCCAGGAAATCTGATACATACTATGTAAACAGATACTCCTAGATGGCACCTTAGTGGTCTGAATGAACTATATGGTTTATAAAATTTCACAACCCAACTAAAGAGTTCGGTTGAATTGGATTTAGGTGAAGTCATTCATCCAGAGCTGACATGGTAGACTGGTGATTCTATACCATTCCTTTGTTCATTTTTATAAATTTGAGAAATTGAATTAAAATTTGAATATATAATAGTTTACAAAATAATTCCCTATAGACTCTACTCTGTGTTTTATAATATGGTGACTTTTTATGCTAATTCTTTAGACCATATTAAACAAAGGTTGCCCTAATTATGGATTAAATTGTGTACCATCTAAAATGTCGGCTTAGAAATGTGGGAGCTACTTGGTAATTCCCAAAATATATAAATTCCTCCACAGTGAAGACTTGCTTCCATAGAATATGACTCTAAGGTCCATATAACATTACCATGCCTAAATGCTGTAGAAATGCAAGACTTCAGTTCCGAGAAGCTTCCGGATAGTTTTTTTAACTTTCACTAGGATTTTTTTTCTGTTTGTTTGTTTTCTTGTTTTCAGTAAAAGAGGCTTCACAGTTCTTTACTGTGAGATGGTAGAGGCAGTTGTTACTATAGCAGTTATACAAAATATTAACAAATTACATTTCAAGGCCATTCCCTCATCTGTTTGTTCATTCATTCAACAGGGAAGTGTTGAAGGCCTGTTATGTACCAAGCACTGGACTGGATGCTAACATGTGACCCAGAGAATTCCAGCCTTCTCTGAGTCTATGACCCATCAATGATGGTGATGGCTCTCAAGTGAGAGAAGTTCTAATGGAAGACTTTTTTAGAGGCAACTGCAGAACCACCTTAATCAGGGCTGGAGAAGACTCCCAAAGAGAAGCATAGACTGAAATATGAAACATTGGGTGGGAATTTGCCATGGCTCCCATCCATGGAGTTCTTTCCTTGTTATTTCTGCCTTTATTTTAACATTTCCCTTGCCAAAAATTCCTCATATGCAAATAATTTTATTGCTATTTCTGTATACCCATAAACTTTGGTAGGTGGCTGAATTATTTTTGATGATTTTTGACCTACAAAGGTGACAGCTGTATATCATTCAACCTATATCTGTGAAACTGTCTAGCTAAATGGCCCTGCTTTCTTAAAAATATAGTGTCATTGTAGTATTTAAAATTTATTGTAAGAAATCCATCACACACTAAAAACATCCCAGTTTCCTTTAAACACTTTTCTTTCAGATAATTTTTCCCAAGTTAAATCTTATTTTTTATCTTATTCATAATTTCATCTGGTAGTGGGGTCACTAATTTCACCCTTATGCACTACACCAGTACCCCTAATCCTTTTGTTAGCTTGTTTATTCTTTCATCCATGTTATTGTTGAGAAATAAATTAGTTCTATGTACTATCAAAATAAAATATCAGCTGCTTTTTGGGAAAAAAGGCAAGGTTATACAAAAACTTCATGAGTTGGTAATACATTCTTGGTATTTGTTTTCAAGACTGCTCTTACATATCTATGAAAATGTTTCAGCTGCATGCAAGCCCACAGATCTTCACAGGGAATTATAAACTGAAAAAGGGGCAGGAACACTAGAACCTTCACTACAAGAAAATTATGGTAATTCTGAGCATTACATACTCAAATATCTACCCCTTTCTCATCTTCCTACAAGTACTGTGGGAAACTTTACCTACTCTGTCAACTTTGGTTTACCTATGATAAAAATTAGAAATATATCCTTGGAACTTTCTCTCTTTTCATGCTGTTTTTCCATGGTGCTGCTCAAAAAGATAAGGATTGCCTATAAAAGGACCTTTCAGTGCTAGCTGCTTGTGTGCGGAACCTGACGGAACTGCCACGGTGAGTCAGGAACACGATTTCCAGGCCCAATTTATCAGAATCTACCCATTTTCCCCCAGAAATCTAAATGAACTTGAACTATGCCAATCTTTTAAAAAACTTTTTAATCCAAACTCAATCATGTTTCTAACTTTGTGTAGATGCTGCTACTCTGGACACTTCCACTGCTGCTGGGAGCAGTAGCAGGTAAGAAAACAGATTTATGTGGAGCTGGGAGAGATTCACGGTCCAATCCTTTCAAGAAGGACTGCGACAGCTGAATTTAAGCAACTATGGGGATAAAGTGAGGGAGTTGCCTGATAAGGAGCACATGTGCTTGGAGTAGGGTTGCCAGATCAAATCTAAGATACTCAATTAAATTTGAATTTCAGATAAACAACAAATATTTCCCACAATGAATATGTGACATGTTGATGGTTTATCTGAAATTCAAATTGAACTTACATTTTTATTTGGCAAACCTAGCCCCCTAGCTTGGGGTCAAGTTAGGGGTTTGAACCCTGGTTTTACCACCTACAACTGCATCACCCCGAGCAAAATCCTTAACTCCTTGGTGCTTCTGTATCTTTCTCTATGAAATGGGGATAATGATATTATTATTATTATTGTGGAATCTCTCATAGGATTATTATAAGAATTAGGTAAGATAAGTAAACCATCTTTCCCAGCACCTAGCACAGTAAGATTTCAAGAAATGCTGCACCCACAACAGCTACTACTCTTACTCCTACCATTTATATAGTTTATCCTCCTCAAGTAGGAAAGAGAACCCTCCCTTTAGGTTGTTCCCATATGGGGTTGTGTCAAACCCTGGATTTGTTTGTTTCATTGTCTGTGAGCAGCTTTTTCACCCCAGGAATGGCGATGCCTTTCATCACAGCAAAGATAGAAATATACAGTTCTAACCTTTCCAAGAAACTTTAACTCTCCATTCGAAGCCCAAAGCCAGTGGTAGCTACAAGGAATTGAGATCCTCACTCCCTCATCAAGGCCTGGGGATACACAGCTGCTCCTTTCTGGGCACCAATGGCCCAAGGAAAACATCTGAGTTTAGAGGCTAAAATGAGTCCCAGATGGAGACCGGGCAGAGACACAGGGAGAGTGAGGTGATGCTATGTGGCAGAAATGAGGAACAATGGCCTGTCTGTAACAGTGGTGTTGTCTTTTGAAGCTCTTTATAAGTGTGTAGCTAGGAGGTTTTTTCAGAAAAAAAAGAGTAAAATCTCCCATTAAATGCGATTAAATCGTATTTGGCAGAGAGTCTATTAAAAAGAGCTTTCTGGTTTAAACAAATACCCTTAAAACTCTTCTGGGGCATTGCAGGAAAAGAAGTCTGCTACCCAAGACTTGGATGCTTCAGCGATGATTCCCCGTGGGCAGGAATTGTGGAAAGACCCCTCAAAATATTGCCCTGGACTCCAAAAGATGTCAACACCCGCTTCCTCCTATACACTAATGAGAACCCAAACAACTTCCAAGTAAGAATGCTCACTGTTTTCAGGACTCAGTCCTAAATGTTTTATGTAATAAGGATACTGAATACTCAAGTCTTCTAAAGACAACAAGTCAGAATGGAATTTGCATCTTTGTAGACTTTCAGGGCAGAGAGCTTAAGTATCATTTTATGTAAATTGTTTCTAAAAGGTCCATTAACCTCATATTATTATTGTCCTACTACCATGGCACCATTTAATAAATATTCTAAATATGAGGAGATATTTATATATATATATATAATGTATAAACTCTTCCAATATTATATATATGAAATCTCCCAAGATTATATTTATATGTATCTCTAATATAGAGATACATATATGTGTAGATACACACATATACACACACACATACACACAGCCTTCCACTGTGTGAAGACAAGATCTTTACCAACAAGACTACAGCAGACATACAATCCCAATTGAACAACTGCAAATGTGATGACTGGCAAACAGTAATGTGATAAAGATTATGAATAGTGTGGCTGTAACAGAAGTATCCTTATTCACAAGGATCCTAATCTCAGCAATCTTTTCCTACCTACCACCTCCCTCCATGTACACTTGGTTCTGTTGGATACTATAAGAAATAATATGAAACACTTTTTTGTCCAAAATAGGAAATTGTTGCAGATCCATCAATTATCAGTGACTCCAATTTCAACACAGACAGAAAAACCCGCTTTATTATTCATGGATTCATAGACAAGGGAGAAGAAGGCTGGCTGGCCAGTATATGCCAGGTAAGACATGGTAATCTAGAAAGGAAAGGTTGTTTCCAGAGTGACAATTAACAACCTGTAAGGCACTGACCATAACCAATGCAGAAAAATGCTGGTCATTACAGCACTGGAGGATCCTCTGACCCCTGCTGGGCTTGAGGTTCCTAGGGGAGGTCCCAGAGGTGGTGGTGGGATGAGGGGCCCTGGGATGGTCAGGGCAGCTAGGTTAGCAGGCATTTGGTGGTTCCAGGCAGTGGTTATTCAATAACTAATACAGAGATATTTCAAAATGTTAGCAACAGATACTGCCATACCAACACATACCAGCTGGTCATAGGCCTCTGTTTTTTCATTACCTTTTAATTTCCATGTGAAGAGCTAAGCAATCTCATTTTGCCTGAACTCATTCTTTTCCTCTGATTTCCACTTGCTACTCTTTGATCTTCTTTGGTAACAACATCTAGGAAAACTGCAGATTTTCATTTCTGGCTTCTGTTATTTCAACACCAGTGATCCTATTTTCTTTAATTTGCCTTTGGCTAGGTGCCCTTTGATAATGAAGAATTAAAAGACAGAAAATCAAATAGAATAAATTATGCTAGTAACTTCTAGTTATTATTTCATCTATTTGTGTATTTATTCATGTATGCATCGAATTTCTTTCACCGTCTGTGGAACAAAGGAGTAGCCATTTCCTCAGAGGTATCAATAAGAAAGACACAAAGGTCCTCCTAAACCCATTCAATTTTAGGCCCATCTATGGCTCAAACCAACAGCTGAATGAGTCAACTGCAGAGCTTATCCATTAGTCCTGAAGAGAGATATAACACACTAGAGTCCATTCCCTTCACAAGTTTTAATAAACTTGTGCAGTAAAACCACAATTTGTCTTCCAAAATAATTTAAAGCTGATGATTACTGGGGGGAGGGTAATAATAAATTTCTATACAACAGTGAAGAAAAATGTGATTTTTTTCATTCAAAAGGAATATAGCTTTGTTAGATATGTGTATAACATTTGCTCCCAAGATCCTGGAAGCAGTTGTGTTCTTCTTTTACTTGGTTTGGCTTTGACAAAACTGTTGCTTTAAGATGGAGAAACAAGCAGATTAAACTAGAAGGACAAACATCCTAGATTTCAGTCCTGACTTTCTCCTTAGCTAACTATGACATTCATTCACCAACCCTTTCCTTTCTTTGGATTTTTCCTTTGGTAAAATGAAGGAGATGAAGATGATTTCTAAGATTTCTTCATTATTCTCCAATTCTTTCAGGAGAAAGTTGGGGATATGTTTAAACACCCACTCAAACAAACAAAATTTCTACCAGAATTAACATTCATAAAATGCCCATCAAACAGGGTTTCCAGTAGATTACCTGGTACAGTATGTTTTTTATGTGAAATAACTCCTCAGTGATGTACAATACAACATATTCATCCAAAAAGTTTGATTAGTCTTTCTATCACAGAAAAGCTTACTACTTTCAACATATTCATTTAAGTGGTCTTAACATAGTCTTTCCTTCATTTAGCAAATATTATTGTGCACCTGCTATGTTCCACAAACTAGACACTGCTGATATAGCAGTGAATAAGACAGAAAATGTCCTTGGGTGCATCCTAGTAAGGGATGATGTAATTTTATGCCATTTAGGATGACCTAATGAACAATCCATTGTATCACATGGGTTGTAATACATTTTATTTCAAATTAAATGTCTATGTATCTTTTTCAGTAGAAATCCCAAGATTCCAGTTCCCACTACAGCCAAACCTTCAGCTTAGAGCCATATCCATAAGAGACCAGAAGTTTTGTTCATTGCTTTGGGGTTAAAAGTGACATGATATTATGTAGGTCAAGAAGGGAATTGATTTTTGTCCTCAAATGTGTTAATTAATAAAGATCCTATATTATTTACCTATTTATTATGTCTCTTCCATCAGAAACTGTTCCAGGTGGAAAGTGTGAACTGTTTCTGTGTGGACTGGAAAAGTGGCTCCCGAACTGGATACACACAGGCCTCACAGAATATCCGGATTGTGGGTGCAGAAGTGGCTTATTTTGTTGAAGTTCTTCAGGTAACTACCCCTGGATTGCATAAAAAAACCATACCCATTGCTCTTTGGATTCACTTCCAAAACAAAGCTGTAGGTATGATCTTTTATGAAGACATAATTTCACTACAAAGACTTGGCTTTCCCCTGGGTTGAAAAGAAAACCGCAAAAAAAAAAAAAATGTAGTTTGGGGGCATTATTAATAACCCCAGTTATGTCACTAAACTAGTTTTTTTTTAATTAACTTATTCAAGCAACTGAGTAGTTTGTTTCTACTGAATTCAACTACTATTTGTTTCAATTTTACCAGTTATTACTAAGTTGACATGACAATGTCAACCTCGAGATTAAACTAGTTTGTTTTTATTTTTGTTTTTTGAAGAGAAGCACAATGATACTAACCTAAACTGATTTGGTTATCAAAAAACACAGAAAATATTATACTTGAATGGTCTTAAGTAATTGCCTTCATTATTATTTTCTAATGCAAATACTTGCTTCATCATCTCTGGTTAACAACTCCTCATGTCTATCAAGAGTTCTCTCTACATAGTAGAAAAACAAAATAGATCCCCTTCCACTACTTTAACAGTTAAGCTCATTTCCATTTTCCATTATAACTGTGAAAAAACCCATAAAAGTCATTTTCTTTTAAGGATTAGAGTGCCTTTTTAAAGTTAAAGTTTTTAGAGGTTCCCTTTCTCTGCCCATCTTGAATTCTGCAATACAGTCAAGTACCACATAATGATGTTTAGGTCAATGACAGGCTGCATATATGATGGTGGTTCCATAAGACTATAATGGAACTAAAAAATTCCTATGGCCTAGTGACATCACAGCAGTTGTGATGTTGTGGCACAATGTATTACTGACATGTTTATGGTGATACTGGTGTAAAACTTATTCTGCTGCCAGTCATATAAAAATATAGACATTCAATTATGTATAGTACATAGTACTTGATCATGACAATAAATGAGTATGTTACTGGTTTATGTATTTACTAGACTATACTTTTTAATCATTATTTTAGAGTATACTCCTTCTACTTATTTTTTTTAAAAATTAACTGTAAAACAGCCTCAGGCTGGTCCTTCAGGAGATATTACAGAAGAAGGCATTGTTATCATCAATGACAGCTCCATATGTGTTATTGCCTCAGAAGACCTTCCAATGGGACAAGGTGTGGAGGTGGAAGACAGTGATATGTGTATATTTATGTCTTAATTTTTTTTTTTTTCTGAGACAGAGTCTCACTGTGTTGCCCGGTCTAGAGTGTCGGGGCGCCAGCGTAGCTCACAGCAACCTCAAACTCCTGGGCTCAAGGGATCCTACTGCCTCAGTCTCCCAAGTAGCTGGGACTACAGGCATGTGCCACCATACCTGGCTAATTTTTTTCTATATGTTTTTAGTTGGCCAATTAATTTCTTTCTATTTTTAGTAGAGACGGGGTCTCGCTCTTGCTCAGGCTGGTTTCGAACTCCTGAACTTGAGCAATCCTCCCTCCTCGGCCTCCCAGAGTGCTAGGATTACAGGTGTGAGCCAGCCTATGTCTTAGTTTTTAATTAAAAAGTTTGAAAAGTAAAAAAAATATATTTTAACAATAGAAAAAAGCTTATAGATGAAGGATATAAAGAAAATATTTTTGTACAGGTTTACAATGTGTTTGTTTTAAGCTAAGTATTGTTATAAAAAAAGTCAAAAGGTTAAAAAAGTTAAAAATTTCATAAAAGTTATAGTAAGCTAAGGTTAATATTGAGGAAGAAATATTTTTTATAAATTTATTGTAGTCTAAGTGAACAGTGTTTATAAAGTCCACAGTAGTGTACAGTAATGTCCTAGGCCTTCACATTCACTCACCATCACTCACTGACTCACCCAGGGCAACTTCCAGTTCTGCAAGCTCCATTCATGGTAAGTACCACATGCAGGCATACTTTTTTTATCTTTTATATGGTATTTTTACTGTACCTGTTCTATGTTTAGATATGCTTAGACAGACAAATATTTACCATTGTGTTCCAGTTGCCTACTGGAACCATTGGCTGCATCACAGGTTGGTCAAAACAGTGAAAGCTGCCAGGCATGGTGGTGTGCATGTAGTCCCAGCTATTCAGGAAGCTGAGGCAGGAAAAGAATTTGAGCCCAGAAGTTCAAGGCCAGTCTGGGCAATATAATGAGACCCTGCATTCAGTACAGTCACATGCTGCACAGGTTGATAGCCTAGGAGCAATAAGCTATACCATATAGCCTAGGTGTGTAGAAGGCTATAACATCTAGGTTGTGTAAATTCACTTTATGATGTTCACACAACAAAATTGCCTAAGGATGAATTTCCTAGAATGTATCTCTGTCATTAAGTAATGCATAACTGTACTTGAAAACATTCTAAAGAGGTCCTCTTTCCAACAGTCTTCATTTGGATACTCACCTTCCAATGTTCACATCATTGGCCACAGCCTGGGTGCCCACGCTGCTGGTGAGGCCGGAAGGAGGACCAATGGAACCGTTGGACGCATCACAGGTTGGTCAAAACAGTGAAAGCTGCCAGGCATGGAGGTGTGCAAATAGTCCCAGCCACTCAGGAGGCTTAGACAGAAGGATCATTGGAGCCCAGGAGATTGAGGCCAGTCTCTGTGTCCAGGCATAACACATGATTACAGCCAATACTTGCACTCAGGACTGTAACTGTAATGAAGAAAGGAGATTGTGCATGAACACTGACAGATAATTAATGATACATCCTATTTACTTTAGGGTTGGATCCAGCTGAACCTTGCTTTGCGGGCACACCTGAGTTAGTCCGACTGGATCCCAGCGATGCCCAGTTTGTGGATGTAATTCACACAGATGGTGCTCCCATAATCCCCAATCTGGGTAGGTTCCTCAATTGTCCACCTAGAGGGTTTTCATGTCTTAAGTCTAAACATTAACATAAGCCTTCCTTTATTTTAAAAATTCTTCAGGTTTTGGAATGAGCCAAACTGTGGGCCACCTAGATTTCTTTCCGAATGGAGGAATAGACATGCCCGGGTGTCAGAAGAACATTCTCTCTCAGATTGTTGACATAGATGGGATCTGGGAAGGTAAAATTATTATGAGTTCAAAGATATTTTCTTGGGAGAACGTTTGTGTTTGGTTTTACTAAACTTACTAAATACTTTGGAATTACACGGTTCTCAGATTTTATATAACAAAAGACTTTTAATTATATCCCTGAGATGTAGGTTTTCATTGGGAGAAATGGGCATGAGGAGACCATGGGAAAGAAAGCATAGTTGCAGTCAACTTTCCAAGAATCCAATTCAAGGAATACCTTCTTAAGTTACACTTATATCTATGTGGAGCATTCTTTTCCTTCTAAAGTTATTTTTCATTTCATTTAGCTATAATGCTACCTATTCTAGTCTTAAAGAGTCCTTCTGATTGTATCACAAATCATAAATATACTTCATAACTTACTCTGTGACCTGTGAGTTCACACTAATTAGAGAAATCTATTCAACAACTATATTCTGATCATGACATTAACTTGGAAAAATAAAGTCTGTTATTAATGTATAATCATGTCTGATTTCAAAGGAACTCGTGATTTTGTGGCCTGTAATCACCTAAGAAGCTACAAATATTATGCTGACAGCATCGACAATCCTGATGGCTTTGCTGGATTCTCTTGTTCCTCTTACAGTGTTTTCAGTGCAGTAAGTAAACTCCACCTTCCACTTAAAGAATTTCATGACTATCACTTCTCATGACTGGTGTGATTCCTTGTACATAACATCATTCAATGAATGGTTTATACTTTCCTACTTACTATACCTTTAATTGTAGATATGTGTTTTATTAATAATAGTGATAAATTTGAGGACTTTAGAGAAATGGGCTTATAAATAGAAATGTCCCATGTCTGTTTTGTCTCTATCATGTCTGTACACATCAGGTAAGAGTTCAAACTTGTTTTAGAAATAATCCTAAGTAAACAAACAAAAAATAGCCAGTCTATGGAAATCTGAGCTATGTCAATAGGATGCTGATGAATATGGAGAAAATTTCATAAGTGCTGAACTTTTAAACTATATAAGTATGGACATGTGGACATTTTTGTGCAATCTCAAAATTGCCAAGATTTTTTTGAGTTTTCATCTTATTTGGTATCCTCTTGATATTTCAGTTGAGTTCTTACATGTGATTCCAAATATGACATCTATTGTCTATTGTTTTTCTTTTCACCATAAATTATTCAAATCAAAATTTGAAACCAATGCCATTTATTGAAGAAAATTTTCAGTAACAATGTGCCAGGTAAAATCATAACTACCAAGGAGATACACCTTAGTGAGTAAGAGAGAGTACTTGAACCCTGGTTTCACCACTAAATAGCTGAATGATTTTAGGCAAAATACTTCTCTAATGAAGTTTCATCATCTACATAGATAAATAAAAATGGTAGACTCAACATATTTTGTGGGAGGAATTAATGAAAACAGATATGTTAATTGCTTAGCCCAGAGCTAAAAATATACTAATTAGCATTCAAAAATGTGAACTATTATAGGAGAGGAGGTACAAATTTTATTCACACTACTGCTTGCATATAAGTTAAAACAGAAGCCCCCTGCTCTTTCTTTGTTTTAACTTTATTTTTATCTTCTTGCCTGATATCCAACACTAGGGAATGAGGAAAAAAAAATAAAGAAACAAACTAAAAACCTTTAGGTCTCATCCTGTTAAAACTTAGACTGATTCAATAATATACAGTTCTCCTAAGTGATACTCAGCATTTTTATAAGAAAATACAGCTGGGCGCAGTAGCTCATGCCTATAATCCCAGCACTTTGGGAGGCCAAGGCAAGAGGAGTGCTTGAGGCCAGGTTTTCGAGACCAGCCTGGGCAATATAGTGACATCCTAGCTCTATAAGAAAAGAAAAGAAAAAAAAAAAAAGTCTCACTCTTGCAGATTTCTCCACCTTTGGGACTTCTAGCTTCTCTCCAAGCCAGTCCGAGGGCCAGGTGATCTTGCTGATGATGGTCCATGTGTGTTCAGAAGAGGGAAAAACTTGGGGGTGCATTCACCCAGGGTCTGATGGAAGCTCTGGTCTCTGGGCAGTATCAGTTCTGCCTTATTGATGGGCACACTCCTGGCATTTAGAGATGAGGTCTAGGGCTCAGCTACTCTTCTGGTTCCAGCAATGCCCTCAGAGAACTTTGGCCATTTCTTCCTGCCTGGCTCCCCTTGGCTTTTGTTCAGTGCAACCCCTGAGACTGTGCTGAGGCCATGATTGGGTCCACTGACCCAGGAGTGCACCACTTGCCTGGACTGTGGAGTAGCCTCGCCCCTCACAGTGGGAAGTGGGACACTTGTCCTGCCACCTCTGCTCCTCCCTCTCCATCTCTTCTTCCCACAATTCCTTGGTTAAGAAAAAGAGGACATTTTCCTATGTTATATCTGTCTCTTCCAGACATCAGCCTCAAGGTTAAACCACAGGCCACCTGGGGCATTTTCTCTTCATACTGGGAGAATGCTGGGATCTGAATCCGTCAGATCTTAATATGCTAAACGTGAGCTAAAGGAATTATTTTTAAAAGGCTGACATTTGAGCCTATTTTCCTCCTAATAAATCCTATTTTGCATATCACTTTTACTATCAGAACAGAATTGGCCTTAGAATATTTGAATTGCAACGTGCAGGGGGGGAAATGGTGTACTCTTAAAAGACAGGCATCCTCATTCATCATTTATTTGTTTTCACTAGAACAAGTGCTTCCCCTGTCCAAGTGGAGGCTGCCCACAGATGGGCCATTATGCTGATAGATTTCGTGGAAAAACAAATGATGTGGGCCAGAAATTTTATCTAAACACTGGTGATGCCAGTAATTTTGCCCGTAAGTTTCTATTTTCTTTACTTTATATTCTGAATGCTATGCATTTTATCATGTCCACTGAAAACATATGAAATTGCTTTTCTATATAAAAGCTTTAAACACTCCTCTCCAGTGTGGAAAAATACTCAGTGCTAGGCTCAAGGTAATCATGGCTAATCATGGTGGCAGAACAGAGTTTGGAGCCTGAATTCTTAATGACATAAAAATAAAATTAATTATATTTTATTCTGATGCTGAATTCAGAAGTCTTCCTCAGCTCCAGCCTCTTTGTAGTCAGTCAAAAGATTTCACTGGGCAAAATTCTGAGGATTTTTACAAGCAGAAAGTTATGCAGGAGAAAGAAATGACAAAGGTTGTGGAAACAGGAAGAAGTTGGCAGATTCAAGAGCTATTTAGAATTGTAGACTCCATGGGTGATAGGAATTAGAGGATGTAGGAATGGTGAGGGATGGGATAGGCTCTATGTTTCTTTTCTGGGTAATAGAGAAACAAAACTATTGGGATGGAAGTTAATGGGTTAACTGTATAATAAAGCTAAAGACAAATTTCCTCCCCTATTCAATTTGCCCAGATTACCCCTAAATGACAAAAATTGGTAGTTCACTATTGGCTAGTCCCAAGGGAACATTCTTTTGGCTTTCATAAATTAATATATTTCCAATGGGCAAAAAAAAAGTTGAATTATAGAATTTTTAAAATAAACAAAAAGATTGCATTAGTTTAAAATTTGGTCATCTATGAAAATAAACTGAAGAAAATATCACCCACTACTACTTTAACACTATCTTTGAATATAAAGTTCTTGTAACATTCAATAATAAACTATTAGGTTGAAAATTGGAAGCAAAAATGTATTACACTTAGTCCCTTGACTTGAAAAAAATCATCTATTAACTTTGGAAAAATTCTACACAGCCCCCACTACCCAATGTCTATCCCCTGAATATTTAGATAAAGGAATATGGAATATCTATGACTATTTTATTAGAAAAAAATACCAACATAATATATAAATTATTCAAAATTCAGCAATATTGGGATCCAAATGATCCTGCTTTCAGTGTCTCTTCCCTACAAGGTGACATTTTGCAAATTTTGTCCCCTTGCAGGTTGGAGGTATAAAGTAACTGTCACACTGTCTGGAAGAAAAGTTACAGGACATGTGCTGGTTTCCTTGTTTGGAAATAAAGGAAACTCTAAGCAGTATGAAATTTTCAAGTGAGTAATATATCACTCTAAGCTTCTTCAATGTTGGAAAACTGTGTATGTATAACATGTTATCAGCATAAGAGTTTGTTGATTCATTAATATATGGGAGTCAAGTACTGTTATGAATAAAAAGGAAGAAATTTTGTCACACTTGCATCTTAATACTATTCAAAATTCAGTTTCTGATTTTGTTCATGTTATTTTCTGAGAAAACTATTAATGTTTACATTGATGCCTAGCATCTGATTTATAATCAGTAGTTATTCTGCCCACAAAACAGATGGTAAAAGATAATATTATTATCTGTTAAATTGTGGGAGGATTGTGACTTACCATGTTTGAAGTTTGATTAAGGCAAAGGTGACTTTAAAGTAATATAAGTCATTGATGGCAAATGGACTAGCTCTGAGTTAACAACATGTCTGAATTTATTTAATACATTAGAATGACAAATGGAGTACCAATCAACTTAGCTAGAGATGCAACGTAAGCTGATTTTAGAAATATATATGCATATATGAGATTATATGTATGTTTATTTATATGTATGTTTAAATATGCTCATGTATGTTTTTGTTAACTTCTTTACTCCTAAGGGGCTCTCTCAGACCAGAGAGTACTCATTCCAATGAGTTTGACGCAGATGTTGAGGTTGGGGACGTGCAGAAGGTTAAATTTATTTGGTATAACAACGTGATCAACCCAACTCTACCCAGAGTGGGAGCATCTAAGATCACAGTGGAAACAAATGATGGAAAACTGTAAGTAATGAAAATCCAAAGGGATTTATAATTCTGTTGCTACTAAAAGTCTACTTTAAGTTAAACCTCCCACGGTGGCTCATCCAGTCCCCAGTCACAGTTGCTTCCCAGTGCCTTTTGTTCTTTTAGGAGAAAGTGCAGAACTTCAGGAAAACACCTTTTACAGATTTGCAGATAAATGTTGTGCTGTCTGATACAAATTAAGTGTTAGAGTGAGAACCAGCTGCATGATCCTAAGGTGAAAAGAATGTTTCATTTGGCAGCTGGGCCCTGCACTATGTGTATGCTTAATGTGTCCATCTTCCCCAAACTTCTTGAGCTACCAAATTGTCACTTAATTTGTCATGAACACATTTCATTTAGGAAGGAACAGAAATAGGCTGCTCTGTGTCACTGGTTTTCTTTTAGTGACATAGAACACAAAGGTCCAGGAGGTCAATCCTTACTTCTAACCAGGACTAGAGTGTGTGGGAGTCAAAACATGTTTATTATGGGGAACTACCAGAAAAACGAACTAAGGGTAATCATGATAATACCAATATTAACCCAAGCATGTTTGAGTATTAATCCAAGTTCTAAGGCAAGCACTGTGCTGCTTCTGTCATCATGTCATTTGGTTCTTACTTTACATAAAAAACACAAATAAATTTCACAAGATGAAAGAACAGAAAAAGATATACTGTTAGTCATTAGGAAAATGCTAATTAAAACCAGAATGAGATACCACCATAAACCTATTTAAATGGCTAAAATTAAGAAAAATTAAGAAGATTGCCAATATCAAGCATTGTTGAGGATATGAAGAATCTTGAACTCCCATACACTGCTGATGGGAATATAAAATGTTACAACCAGTTTGGAAAGTAGTTTGGCGGTTTCTTAAAAAGCCAGACATACTCACACCTATAATCCCAGCACTTTGGGAGGCTGAGGTGGAAGGACCATTTGAGGCCAAGAGTTAGAGACCAGCCAGGGCAATAGTAAGACCTCATCTCTACAAAAAAATTAGCCAGGTATGATGGCATAGACCTATAGTCCAGTCCTAGCTACCAGGGAGGCTGAGGTAGGAGGATCACCTTGAGCCCAGATGTCAAATGTTTCAGTGAGCTATGGTCATAATTGTACTCCGCCTGGGCAACAGAGCAAGACCCTGTCTCAAAAACTAAAAAAAAAAAACACAACATCAACAAAAAACAGACATACACCTACCTATGATTTGATGCAACCATTTCACTCAGACATTTACCAAAGAGTTAAGAAAGCATATGTGCATATAAAGTTATATACTGAATAGCCATAACAGCTTTTATTTTAATAACCAAGAACTGAAAACAACCCATATGTCTACCAAGAGGGGAATGGATAAACAAACTGTGGTGTATCCACACAATTGAATACTACTCAGCAGCACAAGGAATGACTAGTGATATAAGCAACAACATGGATGAATCTCAAAATAATTATATTGAATATGGAAATTAGACAAAAGACCTTAGATTCTATTCATATAAAACTCTAAACAATTCAAACTACTCAGTAGTGTCATCAGACCAGTGAGTGCCTTGGGGAGAGAAGACTGGAGGGGTGAGAAGAAGGAATTACAAAGACTATAAAGACACAGGAAGAAAATTTAGGGGTGATAGATATGTCTACAGTCTTGATTTTAGTGATGGTTTCAGAGGTGTATGTGTGTTGTGTGTGTGAGAAAAGTTAGCACTTTAAATATGTGCAGTTTATTCTAGGTAAATTAAAGTTCAATAAAGCTGTTAAAATAAAAATATATACCCTATGAGGAAGGTATTTTTATTATCCTGATTTTAAAATAATTAAATGAAGGTACTATGCCAGAAGTTCAATGCAAGGAGTTTTACTCCAGCAAGTTCTTTACTACTACAAAACAAATTCAGTTCAATTTTAATAATATATAGAGTCTGGGTGGCCTTCATTTCTTGGGTCCTAATTTTTAATTTCCTATTTGTGATGCTGCCAGTCATCAGAACACGCAGAGGAAGTGAACACGAAAGGGAAAAAAGCATTTTCTGAGCATGTTTTGTGTTTCAGTTGCTTTATGTATACTAAAATATTTTACTAAAGAAAACTATCTCCAAAGCATTCTAAGTATTATTCAGTCTTAATGAGAAAAACTAGTCAATTATTTTCAAATATTGAATTAAAGTAAGAATGGTTAGCCAGCTTAACACTAGCACCTTGGAATTTTTTACCAGTTTTCATGCTAGTGACCCTAGTTGGTCTTCCTCAGTTGCATTGGTACACATGTGCAAAGTGTTTGGTAACAGCCCTTCCTGTTCTTTGGGGTGTCTATTGACAAACTCCTCTCTCAGCTATTGCACAAGCAGAAAACAAAATTTTAAATGAGAATTCAGCTTTTTAAACAAAAGAGGTCTTCCCTTAGCCATTGTCCAATCTCAGACACAGGGTGTGCCCTTGCTCAGACTGAGGGGAGAGCAGATGCTCTCTTCATGCTCAAGACTCCAGATGTGTGCCAGGAAGAGGTAACGTTTTATTGTTTTTGCTCCACAGGTTCAACTTCTGTAGTCTAGAAACTGTGAGGGAGGAAGTTCTGCTCACTCTCACTCCATGTTAGGAGGCTGCTGTCATTTGACCACTGAGTCTTACTGCTAATAAAATCTAATGGTAATAAAATGCATTCCTTGCTTTTATCATCATTGTCAAATATCCAATAAATCTTTTGTATATGTTGATAAAAATCTAAAATTTGGAGTTGGCCTAGAGAATCACAAATGACTGTTGAATTTTGCTACAAATTTGAGCTTGGAAATATTGTTTACATGACACTGTCATCATGTCCATTATTAATCCTGCTGATGTCATTGTGATCATTTAAGCAGACATCAAGGCCCATGAACAAAGTACCAACAATTACTGCTTTTTCTATCATCTTTAAGTTCTGTATCTGCTCCTAACCAGATATGGCAGGAGAGATGACAAACAAGGAGATGAGGACTGAACAGTTCTGAAGCTTCCAAACTGGTCTTCCTCCTCCCAGTGGGGTCCCCCAGACCTGTCACCTCTCTTCAATCTCCTTGATCTTTCCAAAGTACAAATCAAACAAGCATTCTTCAGTGGTCCCCAAGACAGAATCCACCATCCTTAGTGAGCCTTGCCAGGTCCCACTTGGTCTGGTTGTCTCCTTGGACTCCAGCCTCATCTCTCACCATGCTCCTTCTGGAACTCTACAGTCTGGCCTCTCTCCCAAGAGGGCCCTGATTTCTGATGCTGCTGGATGCTGGCACAAACTCTTCCTCTTCCTGGGATGATATTTTCCCTATCTTCCTGTCTGTGTAACTCCTATTCATTCTTAAATCTCTGTGTAGACATCAATTCTTCCAGGAAGTCTTTCCTCACTCCCATTATCCACACCCCCTAAGACTTGATTTGAGGCTTCCCCACTATTCTCCCACTCACCCAGGACCTTTCCAATCTCAACACTTGCCTCTCCATATGGTAATTGCTGGCTCACTTCTCTATATATTCCATTTGTAAACTCCTTAAGGGGGTTGCATGTCATATGTGCCAGGCACATGCCTGGCATATAGTAAAAGAGCAAATAAATATTTTTTTAACAACCATCACACTACTGGGAACAATGCATGAATACACTAACATCAGGTATTTAACCACTTCAGTACCAGCGTTGACTATAGTCGATAGCCACAGATGAACGCGCACAGCGACTTTAGCCGACAGCCGGGATATGAAGGTGCACGGCCAAGTGTTGACTTTAGCTGACAGCCATGATATGACTTTTCTAATTTTTCATTTATCAAAATAAAATTGTGAACATTTAAAAATAACGTAATGAAATCATATATGTGTATGTTACCTATTCTGATTAACATTACAAGTAAAGCTGCCTGTAAAGTAAAATAAGCTTTCAGTGCTTTAAAGCTTTCCTCATCACATAAGAGCAAAATGGATTTGTTGGTTTTTTTTGAGACAGAGTCTCACTTTGTTGCCCAGGCTAGAGTGAGTGCCGTGGCATCAGCCTAGCTCACAGCAACCTCAAACTCCTGGGCTCAAGCGATCCCCCTGCCTCAGCCTCCCGAGTAGCTGGGACTACAGGCATGTGCCACCATGCCCGGCTAATTTTTTCTATATATATATATTAGTTGGCCAATTAATTTCTTTCTATTTATAGTAGAAATGGGGTCTCGCTCTTGCTCAGGCTGGATTTGAACTCCTGACCTTGAGCAATCTGTCCGCCTCGGCCTCCCAGAGTGCTAGGATTACAGGTGTGAGCCACCACACCTGGCCTGGATTCGTCGGTAATGCACAGCACAAACTATCCTGCAGACTATGAGTGCCGGCTGTGGGCAAGGTTTCTCGGCCAGTGAGCACGGTACCAAAGTGGTTAAAACCAGGCCCTGTCCAAACAATAACATCCTAAAAAAGAAAGGGGTATTTGTGTTAGATCTTAAAAAATAGGTAGGGAATTACCAAGATGACATGGTGAAAAGGACACTCGTGAGAGAAGGAACAACATAGGCAAAGGCACAGGGGTATGAAAACATGAAAAATTAAAAACATTATTCATTCCATGTTTTGCCAAAATATAAGCAAGTTGATCAACACATGAAGACTTGTCCTAAAGACCATCAATCTGCATCAGTTAGGATGCTTTCACTTGCATGAACTAAAATCTCCAACTCAAACTTGCTCAAAGAAGGAAAGGCAGTGGCTCAACATGCTTAGAATGCTTAGAAACGCTCCTCTGTGCCTTACCAGTTTCCCATGAGTTCTACTTTAGACTCTGGTGTTCTTTCCTAGATACTCTATTCAAGATATGATTGTCAATTCAAAATGTTGATTCTTCTTTCTGGAAAAGAGGGATATCTGATGTCTCTAGTCAGCCATCTGGAACTGGAATCTCCCAGTCTGCTGGGAACTGCTGGGAACTATCTAAAGATAGTTATTTAGATAGAACTATCTGACAGGATGCAGAAGACAAAAGAAACAAGGAAAGAGTCTGAGGGTAAAGGCAGCAGTGACAAGACTACTGTGATGGCCTAGGAAAGAAATGATTGTCATATTCAATATGACGAAAGTTGTATTTCTACTGAATAAAATTGCCATTTACTGCATTATTGGTGGGGAAAAAATACAAATAAAACAAAAAATAAACTATCCAAAAAATATTTGTATAAATTTGTTTTGGAAAGCAGATTCTCATTTTTACACACAAAATACAGCCAGCTGTACTCATCCTTGACCATATTTTAGATCAATGCTAGGCTAACACAGCCCAGGAGAACATGGCCTTCTGTAGATGGACACAAGCAAGTCAGGTGTGGCAGGTAGAAAGAACTTGTCCCTCTAGTCTTAGCTCTGCTACTTACCAAATGTGTTTCCCTGAGCAAGTTGCATAAAGTATCTGCATCTCACTGTCTTCATATGAAAAATAGCTAATCCTTCAACAGGCTTACTGGAAGACTAAATGCAAAAACTTAAGAAATGTGGAAAACAATCATTAATTCTACAAAATTTTAGAGATTGCAATGGTTTGGATGCAGTCTGTCTCTGCCAGAACTTATGTTGAAATTTGATTACCACTGTTGCAATGTTGAGAGGTAGGGCCAGGAAGAAAGTGCTTGGATCATCATGGGTGCAGGTCCCTCATGAATAGATGAATGCCTTCTCTCAGATTGAGTTATCCCTTTGGAGGGACTGCATAAGTTGCAATGAGAGTGTGTTGTTTTTCCTCCTTTTTCTTCTTTTACCACATGCCTGTTTCCACTTTCACTTTCAATCATGAGTAGAAGCAGTATGACACCTCACCACATGGGTTGCGTGATCATGGATGTCCCAACCTCCAGAATTGTAAGTCAAATAAATTTCATTTCTTTACAAATTACCCTGTCTCAGATATTCTGTTATAACAACACAAAACAGTCTAAGACAGACAGGTATGCTTGTTATTCAATTCCACAATGTAAATCATCTTCATGTATGACAGAGGCGGGTAGACTATGATTACATGTTTTGGGTCTTGATGAGCTATATCCCCTCACATTTGGCAGGATGGTTTCTCTAGAAGATATGAAGCAATAATAACACCCAGATTTTTACATGATTTTTCTGTTCAGGGAATTTTGGGAAGCTCAGGACAGCACATCCTCCTTCCCTTTGAGGGCTCTGGCAAGAGGCTAAGCTAGGTAAGTGCAGTCAGGCCAGGCTATCTGAAGGTTAAGTAAATGAGACCTTATTTGACTAACAGGCTGGCCATCTGGCCACACAGGTGCTCCAGGCCCTTTCTTTCTCTCACCTGGAATTTGTTATCACAAGGTTGCCAAGATCAGAGCCTAAACTTAAATCAATATTTAATTCTTCTGCCAATATAACTACTTGATTGGAAGCTTACAAATTTGGCATTGTTATTTCTAAATGTCCAAGGTTTCAGAGTCAAAGTTGAATCAATCTTATGCAATGCTCTGATAAATTCAGAAGACATGGAATTATTTCTCAATGAGAGCCTATTTTGGCTTTCAATGTCATGAGGTATCTAGGTGAGGATCGCCAAGCCTCCATCACCATCAAAAAGGCTTATCTTTGAATCTGCAATCCCGGAGATGTGGAGAGCAACAGAAGCTGGTGGAAAGCAGGGCTTGGGTGGTAGCTCCACTCCACCTCTGGTCTTTGAGAGTCACCTGTGTACCCAGAACATCAAGCTGCTCCAACTTCACATAAATTGTGTGTGGGGCCCAGGTAACATTGGGTGAATTTTCACTAAACCCTGGGTATCATATGGCTTCATATTACTTGTGAAACAATGGTCACCACCAGGGACTGAACTGAAAAACATCCATTAAAAATAAAATCCTGCAAAAATGAAGACTTGAACAGTTGTTTTTTAAAATTTGGGAAATGACAGGAAAGAAGTTTTTTAAAACAAAGTGTTAGAAAAAATCTGTCCAAGTATTTGTGTTATGTCTAACTACCATCCAAATTTCATGGTGAAATGCATAGCCCAGCATTTGGTACCCAAACTGTTCATGGAAGTAGGAGAAACAGTATGTAAATAATCTCTATTTGTTAAGGTAATGCTAACTGCTTTATATTCAAATCTTAGGGCTTAAAGTAACAATTTATTTCTTGCTCACATATAACTTAAAATGGGTGTTCATGATTGATGAGTGGCTTTCCTCTATGAAGGCTCCTTCCATCTTGTGGTTCTGCCAGATTCAACACATGGCCTTCAGGGTTTTGTATTTGTCTGCATCAAGCCACAGAAAGAAAGGAACATGCAGGACCATGTGTGGGTTTTTATGAACAGGACTAGAACAGGCGCACATCCATGCACTCACATCTCATTGGCCAGAGGTTGGTCACCTGGCCCCATCTTCCTGCAATGGAAGTTGGGGAATAGAGTCTATGCAATGTCCTGTATATAAACACACTAGCAACTCTGCCACATACAATACAGACATTTCTAGATTGCACATTAGTAGTCTCAATGAAACAATATCATTTATAAAATTTTACAACCCAGCTACACAGTTCAACAAAATTGGATTTAATCATTCATCCAGATCTGACACGATAGTCTGCTGATTATGTACCATTCCCTTGTTAGTTTTTATAAATTGAAGAAATTGAATCTCCCTGAAACATTCTAAACTTTGAACCTATTT